TTTTTTTTTTTTTTCCCTACTTAGTTTTGTAGTCATGAATATAGTCTGAAGCAAATGCTTCCCTTGTTAATTTATATTGTTGGCATGCTGTTAGATGCCAGTCCTTTGCCAGTGACAAAAATTTGTCGTGCTGTTTTACCATATTGCCTTGCTTCTATTTGTTGTACGTTGGCGAGGTGGGTGTCGATTGATTGGTTAGTTCATGGTTGTATTCGACCATATAACTGATGCGGCCAGGTCTGAACGTTTGGATCCTGCGATTCGCCTCATAGTTTTGATTGTATAAAATAACAGATTTGTTTGTTGAATTGCTCTCCTTTCGCCATAGCCATTTTGGTGCATCATGTTTCTCCTGGCTTGTGCTTCTAGAATTGAAGTATGATTATATTGAAATTTTGTAATTTAAATTAAATAATTAAAGGAATTTGTAGCACAACTCCTCAACTTTTCAATTTTACAACGCTGCAATACTTTGGCAAAATAGTTTTCATTTAGTTGATTTTTAGGACTTGTATGACTTTCACATGATTTGACTTTGAAGGGGTAAAAAAGTTAAAAGTTTAATTACGCAAATAAATAAAATTTAAATAAAGATAAAATGAGCGAGGAATTGTTTGAACCCCATAAAATTGGAAAAACACACTTTGGAATGGTAGGTTGATGGAGAATGTGTAATTAAAAGACGAGAAAAAATTTTGAATTTACGTGTAATATAATTTTTTTGAAAAATGTGATTGAAAAAAGAGAGTGAAAACAAGAATTAATCACTGTCTAAATCTTATTTGACACTCAACCTTCCTTGTCCCATCCTGCTCCGCGGAATATTTGCTCCATTGGAAAAATAGGACGAGACATGGAATATGGTCAATTTCTTTTACTATTTTTTTGAAAATGTTATTAAGTTTAAATTGTATCTAAAGAATAAATAATAATACTTGAAGATAAATAAATAAATAAAAGGGTTATCCCATCTCACCCTGTATTTAGAAATTTTTTGATCCTCTATTTTTGTTCTGTCCCATCATGTTGTCAACCCTTATGTCTTACCAATTTCATCTATGGTCTCGCAACCCTTGTTATGGTCGACTATTTGACTAACTATTCTTCCGTTTGATTGAGGGACTACAAGTTCTGCAAATTGATGGAGTAGTGGAAACTAAATAGAAATTTAGTGAATTTATTCAGATTTCATTGAAAGTTTGGTGACCATGGATGAAATTTACTCGAATGGAACTGGTAGCGCATCTTTCCCTCGAGCTTTTTTTCAGGCCCGAGCTGAGCCGAGCAAAAGCTCGGCCAAAAAAATTAGGCTCAACCCGAGCTTTTGGTTCGGGTCTTTCCGAATCGAGTCGACTCGATTTTGGTAATTTTTTTTTTAATATAAATAAAGAGGCAGCAAGTGCTGCCTTAAACAAGGCAGCACCAGGCAGTATGGTGCTGCCTTGTGTTTAAGGCAGTAAGGTGCTGCCTTAAACAAGGCACCAGGTGCTGCCTTCTAATTTTTTTTTTCTTTTCGTATTTTTTTTTTAAATATAGGCTCGTGAGCTCGAGGCGACGAGCCACATGGGCCGACTCGGGCTTTGCCCGGCACCCCAAAATGGGGGCTCGACCTGAGCTTCGGCTCGGTTCTCCCGAGCCTCGAGCCGGGCGAGCTCGAGTTTTTTCCGAATCGAGCCACTGGTGATCCGAGCCGACGAGCTCGATTGTCATCCCTATAAGCAATACATGATGCAATACATGATAGGAGTGATTAAATTAAAATTAAATTTAAGTTCAGTGACCCAATTGAGTATTCATCTCAATTGAAAGTTAAGTGACCCAATTGGGATTTAATTGATAGTTTAGGGACCACGAATGAAATATATCCGAACCGAATTTGTAGCACCGCGGCTTTTCCAGTTTACAACCCAGCACAGACCCTAACCAAATCGAACTCAAAATACGAAGATGGCGTCGTCCAAAACCCTAATTCGCACCGGAGTTTCTCTGATAAACCGTTTCGTCAACCCGACTGTTAATTCGAACCCGATTCCCATCCACCGGATTCTCTGCCAGAGCCCACCATTGATAAACCCTCCGCAGCTGTTCCCCTCGCACTTCCTCCCTCAGTCTCACACCTCCTTTCTACAATTTCCACAGAACCAAAACGACGCCGAATCTCGCAGAGAGCTCTTCCTTCACCCCTCTGGCATCCCGTTTCTTCCGTTCTTCCTCCCCGAAGGTCTTTCCCATTTTCCCATTTATATATACACATATTGAATGTATTGCTCGTACTTGTGCACTTGTATGTTTGGTAATATATAGGTATCGATGCCTATGAGTGGAAATTTTGGGATTCAGCGAACTAATTGATATCATTTCCACATTTACCTTCTAGCCTAGTTATGGGGAGTTTTAGGAATAGGATGATGTTGATGTGTTGATATATCCACTTATTACGCTATGATAGGCACGAATTTATGGGTAAAGATTATAGTGGATGACTTGAGAGTATCTTCCTTTGAAGTTTGAAAATGAAAGAAAAGACTAACCTTGGTCAGGGTTTTCATTATACCTATTTGCTATGTCTTTTAGTCCGACAATATTCTCAAATCATGCCTTTCAAAAGTAGCCTTGTGACATGGATGTGGTTAATTGCTCGGGTGAAGATGAATTCGTGGCTCTTTTATATGCTTAACTTTGTATCTGCTACATGTTTATTGGCTCTGTTGATCAAGTGTTTTATTCTTACATCCTCATAGTTTGTGTCACTCTCTTTCGGATTTGGGGTGTTGCGAAGATTTTTTATGTTATCGTGGGGACCTGCACTGATCCGAGTCATCTTATATTCTTTAATGAAATTGAGATTGTAGCCTACTACTCTACTAGGAACTTAATAATTCTCTAAGTGTCGATACCTACATCAGGATTCTTTGGAAGCTCAAGGAAGCCTTCCGCTATGATCAAGGCATGGTGTTATTAAGCTTGTGATTGCAATTAAGTTAGAAGTCTTTTTCTACCTTTTAGGGACATTAATTAAGGCATATCCTCATTTTTTTTTTCCACTTATTAGTTGGTAATCGTTGATTAGAGTGCTTATATATTCTATAATGCTCAAGGCATTGAAATTGGGTTATAAATGCCTTATTGAAGTTTTGATCAGCAAGAGTAGCCTGTTCTATGAGGAGTCCATTTTTATGGTATTATGCATTTTTCCTGAAAAATATATTTTCTTCATCACTTTTATGGTCGGGCTAGTGCAGCTTGTGCATTGGGTTTAAGTGGCTAAATTGTTTGATGAACTTAACCAGTTTTATTATGGATTAGATTAATGAGTTTGAACACATCAAGGAATCCCTAGTACAGCTACTGTTTCTATGCCACTAAAATTTGATTTTGGAATTAGGAGATATTCAAGAGATTGTAATTTACAGGTGTTAGTGGGTCCTTGACTTCCCGTTCAAAGGATAATGACCTGAAAGGTTTTCATGATGACTCAGCTACATGTCTCTTCAATCTAAGCAACTATGATAATTGTCAAAAAGATCCTTGGAAAGATTATGCCACACTAGGGAGTTCTGTCCAAGTCTTGATTTGGGTCTGTAGGTGAAGGAAGGACTTTTCGTGTGTCTGATTCATGGTGTACAGTTTAATAACATGATTGTACAATGTTTTTTGTGAGTTTATCTCGCTAGATAAAGTTGCAGTGATTCTTTTTGCTCCTACCTGCATGGAGTCTTCCAAACCCCACCCCTCTTCCCAAAAAATAAAAAATGGAAATGTAAAGGAAAAAAGAAAAGTATGGAGCTTCTTTCATTGGGCTTTACAGTTTGTTAATTGAGCCAATGACCGCTAGTTTTCTTCTCCATTTTAATTGAAAAGCGAGAGAGTTGAAGTTTGCACAATTGCTTTATTTTCTTATTTATTTTGCTTCCTGCAAAAATTGGTTCATGATTTTTCTTTTTTTCTTTACCCTACACAGGAGATGATTCTTCATCAAGCAAGTCAATGATTTTACTTCCAAAGCGAACATATCAACCGAGCAACATCAGGCGCAAAAGGACACATGGATTTTTCGCTCGGTACCCTCCTCTCTCTCTTCGTCTACAATTTCTGGTTGTGGATATGATGAAATTATCATGTTGATTATGATTAAACTGGTAGAGTATTTTAAATTATCGAACTATACAAGCAATCTAGACAAGGATCACCACCTCTAGCTGGTACCAACCTTTCATTCTATGGTTCATGGACATATGTTTTTACATGGAATGATATCAAGTAATGGTATCAAAATCTCGACTCATTTTGCTGCAAAAATCTCTTGTTTTTCTTTCTTTCTTTCTCTTCCTGTTACCTCTATTTGTCCCTGGAATCAAAGAATTTGGAGACCTGTTCCGACCAAAATGTGAATGGGCTAGGGTTATGATTTGTGACCTGCCAAACACAGAACATGCTCTTTTTGTTCATAACTGGTAGACCTAGCTCTCAGAAAATTATTTCCTTCAATTACTGGATTAATCACTTATCATGTCCAGCATTGACACCACCAAACTCATTTATGTGGTCCTTTGTGCCGTGCTATTGACTAATACATTTTCTCTACTCTGGACAGGAAAGCAACGAAAGGTGGCCGGAGAGTTATTGCTCGGCGAATCGCAAAAGGTCGGTCCAGAATCACGGCTTGAGAACTCTTGATTGTAGACAAGTTTTGGTCAAATCACCTCACCCTTTGTGGGTTGTTCTGACTCTGCATAATGTTAGGTTGGGATAGAGAAAGTCAAGTTAATCTATTTGGCCTTCGGGGGATTTCAAATGTTCCCAATGCATTGGAGATTTTGCTGTGTCCCAATATTGGAGATTTTGCTGTGTCCCAATAAATATAGTGTCTGAATCATTTTCGGTTGCTTTGGTTTTATTAGTGCGATCACATTAGTTTTTTGTTCCGCTCCTTTGTTGTGCGAGTTTCTTATGCAGAAAAAGTTGAACAAATCTACGAAATTGTAGTTTGTGTTATGAATTCAATAGCTGTCCTGTAGTTGCAAAATACATCTGAGAAGATAATAGTGCGTTTGATTTGCTCTTTTGAAGTCATTTTCATTTTTCTAAAATATTCAAAATGTGTTTGGTATGTTTTTATTAAAAAATGCATTCTTGAAAATAAGGAAAATTATACAACATAAAACTCAAATTGATTTTTTGACACTTTGAGCGTTTTAATTGAAAACACTAAAAAATCTCGAAATAAAGAAAATAAATTAAACTTTTTTAAATTAAAATAATTAATAAAAGAGCGCAAAGTCTATCCAAATATAATGATAAATTTTTTTTTATTACATACTAGTATAAAATTAATGTTTTACTAAATAATCAAATTAATTGGAATAAAAATGTTATAAAATTATTTCTAAAATTGTTAAACGAAATGCATATTCTAGTTTTTATTTTTATTTTTATTTTGAGAAACAATATCAGAATGACAAACTAAATGAGGTTATTGTAATCTTAAAATAATATCTCAAAATAGAAAATAGAAAATGAATTCAAAATTGAAAACTAGACATAGAAACGCAAATTAAGCGCACCCTAAGTTTCTTTATTGAATTGCAATTTTTTTAAAGTAAAACTTTGGATTAATGTACTTTGAAGCATCGTGATGGGGAAATGGCTTGTTAGTTATTACCATGAATAATACTATTTGCAGTCGCTCGCTACAACAGTCGTCCTACGTGGCATACACATGACAGATAGTTATTTGATATATTAATAAATAAAAAAATATCACATTAATGTATCAAATAATCACTTGCCATGTGTATGCAACGTAGGACGATTGTCGCAGTGAGCGACTACGAATAGCATTACTCTATTACCATAGGAAAATTAATTAGTTCCTATATTTTCAGTTTCAAGTTCAGATTAGTTAGTAATAAATTTTTATTAAAAAAATCAAGTTTATTTAATATACCCTATCCGAGCATATCCAAAAAGACTCTTTATTTATAAAGAGCATCTTATGCATAATAGAGAGCATATTTAAATTTTCGAGAGTATTTTTTATACACTTGAACAAGCTCTCTATTTTGATTATTTTTTTTTTTTCAATGAACATTTAATAATTTCTCTACATATTTTATTTAAATATAATTTTTTATATATTAATGACCAATTAATTCAAATGTAATTTGAAAAATTTAAATTGTAGAGTATTAAAATTTATAATATATTAAATGCGATTATTGTACATTAAGAATAGAGAGTGAATTTAGAGCATCTCACGATCATTGTACATTAAGAATGAAGAGTGGATTTAAAGCATCTCCGAGAGACTTTTTAAATACAAAATCTCTCTATTTTAGAGAGTCAATACTTAAAAATAAATTTCAAAAGACTAATTTAACTTTTTTAAAGTAAAGAGTGTGTTTGACTCTCCAAATTTAGAGAGTCAAGCACACTCTCTATTTTTAATGAACAATGATTGTATTTAATACATTACAAATTTCAATACTTTACAATTTAAAATTTTCAAATTACATTTGAATTGATTGATCATTGATATATAAAAAAATTATATTTAAATAAAATATGTGGAGAAATTATTAAATGTTCATTGGAAAAAACAAACCAAAAAAAATCAACATATAGAGTTTGTTGGATTGTATAAAAAAAATTACTCTCTAAATTTAAAGATATTCCCTATTATGCATAAGATACTCTTTATAAATTGTGAGTCTTTTGGAAATGCTCTTTGCTCTTTAAATTTGGAGAGTCAAATACATTCTCTACTTTAGTAAGTTAAAATAAAGTCTCTTGAAACTTATTTTTAAACATTGACTATCTAAAATAGAGAGTATTTTGTATTTAAAGAGTTTCTTGAAGAGATGCTCTCACATCTGAACATAATTTAGATATTAATAAAAAAAAAGGTGTGTAGATTCAATCTAAAATCAATTATCAATTAAGTCCCTATTTATCTCCATCTAAAACAAATTTCTATAATTTTCATATTGATTTTTAACCACACGATTCATAGAATAAAATATTTTGCACGTAAATCAATTTTTTTCGTGTTTTTAACTACACATTTTTCACAAAAAACACTATTAAAAAATTTATTTTTTTCCTCAATAATGACCAGGTTAATTAAAGAGAAGAAATTAGACGATGTAGTCAAATAATTGAGCTATTTTTTAGTGGATTAGAAACATAAAAATGAATAGATACCCACCCAATCCCGTGCCCATGCCCGCACCCGCACCCGCACCCGCACCCGCACCCGCAATCGTGTCTCAATTCTCTCTGAAACAAATGCAACATGGAGTCGCCTTCCATTAGCACCTATCCCAATGCACCGAAATCACCTTCCCTACATCCTCCAGCAGTCAATTTCAACTAACAGCAATAGATTTGGGCTCCAACGCTTCGTTTTTGGAGCCAATATGTGGGATCGAACCTTCTTGATGGGTAACCCAAAAACATGTTTAATTTAGCAATCATGCTACTCAAACAGGAAACTTAACAAGAAATGATGACCGACGGTACTTGGAATTCATTTGTTGGAAGATAGATTTATTTATTTATTTTTTTTTCAAACAGGTGAATCACAATTCATGATGTCACATTTGTCAATATTTCTTATCAAATTTCCCTGTTTAAATAGCTTATTTGTTAATTTTGAAGGAAAATCGACGGCCTTGATTTGTGTGCAAACCCTTGGGCGTGCAAATCGAGGTCTCCAATTCGCCCTACTTTCAATTTGATTCAAGTGCTGGGATTACTATCATTAATCATAGAATGTCCAAAAACCCTTACGGTGGTGATGAAGGTTTGATTGCAACGATGGTGGTGGATATAGTTACGATTGTTCGACTGCGACCTAATTAGTTAAATCATAGGTCACAATAATTTATTGGAGGTGACGTTATATGAGCACCTAACTTTTGAAAGGATTTCATAAGTATGTTATTTATGAAAATATATTATTTACTATCTAGTTTTGGTTTGATATTTGTTTGCTTATTTTATTTTTCAGGACTCATTAATTATTTTTCAATAGGGGAAGGACTAAATTGCAATTCTAATTAAGTGTTGCATTTGGTTTCCATATTAGACTACAAGCACCACTTTTAGAGGTTTGATTGGGAATCAACGAATTCTTGACTTTTAAATTTATCTGCAATATTTTTGAGTAACGTATTTTTCTTCATACTTTTTTTTTTTTTATTTAAATTTTTTACTTCCCATTGGATAACATTTGAATGATGAATCTGGTTGAAATAAAATTTTTCAATAACTACAAGGTTAATGCAAATAGCAAACCAACTAAGGTTTTATCCAATAACGAGGCTAATGTGTTTAAATAATTATTACTCCATCCGATCCATGAAGATAGGATACTTTCCTTATTTAGAATATGATTGATTTCTTAATTCTTAGATTTCTAAGAGCATTTACAAGAGACTCTAATTTTAAAAAGTATATTTTATCATTTGGAGAGCATCCATAAATTTAAAATTTTGAGGTACTCCGTACTCCAACAAACTCTTTGTCTTTAACATTTAATTTTACAACTTCCAAAAAATATTTATTATTTTTCTCTACATTTTATTTTAACTAACTTTTCTCTAAATTATTTTATTATTTTTCTACATTAAAAATTGAAACATTTTGAATGTATTTAATTATAGAGAGTGGGTTCGGCTCTCCAAATTTAGAGGGTGAAACCCACTCTCTAAAAATGTTAATCTAAATAGTTTTTACTCTTTAAAATATGAATATCTCATATTTAAAGAGTATCTTGAAAATGCTTTAATATGTTCATATTTAATGTGCCTTCTTATAAGAATGTAAACAAGTCAAGTCGAGTTGGCCAAAACAAAAAGTGGCTGGGGCTTTTTTGGCCTAAACAGAGTCGAGGCAAAACTTGGACGAAAAATCGAGGCTTGACTCGAACTTTAGGCTTGAGCCTTATTGAGCCGAGTTGGGCCAACTCAATTTTTGTTTTCCTTTATGGTATGCAGCTGCCCGCCTCCTGCATTGAGCAGGCTACTAGCTGCATGCTTCATTTGAGAGTATACATGAGACCTTAATTATGTAATTTTACTTGTGCTTGGATTGTAAATGTTTTCTTGTTAAAATTGTTGTTTCCTCAAAGTTAGAGGACTAAATTGTCATTATATAGTACTTGGAATGACGAAATTGTTGTTTCCTAAAAGCTTGATGATTCAATCATTGTTTCCGAATAGTTGGATGACCAAATTGCTATAACATAATAGATAGAGGACTGAATTATTGTTTTGTAAAAGATAAAGGAATAACTTCTTGTTTCATAGCACTTAGATGATCAAATTACTGTATTCTAGTAGTTTGAGGACCAAATTACTACTTACCAAGAGTTGGAGGTCTAGTTATTAATTTTTAATAAATGGATGACCAAATTTATTTTCTCATAGGTGGATGACTTAATTGATGTTACTAAAACAATTAGATGGTAAAACTGTTGTTACATTATAGTTGGAAAATGAATTTGCTGTTATTAATATGTTGATGACCAAATTACTATTTTATGATGAGTAAAGGAGTGAATCACTTTACTATAATAGTTAGATGATAGATAGTTGGTTATCAAAAGTTAGAGGGCCAAATTGCTGTTTAAAAATAGTGGTAGGATACATTTGTTGTTTCCTTTTAATCAGTGACGAAGCTAGACATTATTTGTCGTGAGGTAAAAAATGAAGTTGTAAAAAAAATTTATTTTTGAACATAATTTTTCTTGAACATTTGTCTCAACAAGATTTTGCTCTTCATTAAAAAATTGAGATTTTCGTTTGAAGTGGAAAAGTCGCTATCGTTGATGGAGATAAGTAGAAAATAGAGAATTATTTGATAAAAATGGCAATCCTAAATTTTGAGATAATAATGAGATTAATGAATAAGAGACACGTTAAAAAAAAAAAAATTAGTTGAAATAGCAAAAAGAAAAAAAAAAAAGAAAAGGAAATTTAGATTTTCTGTAGGGTCAACATGCTACCATGTAAATACGCCATGATTATAGTTGGATGTAGGGGTGAACGCGGTTC